AATAATTATAAAATAATATTTAATATATAAATATGTATAAAAAAATATATATATATATATATATAATTATATATATATATATAATAAGATTATAATTTATTCATTTTTCATATATTTAAATTTATTGATATTTTATTTTATAATTTTTAAATATAATTTCATTTATACCATAGATTTATATAATTCCCCAATAGTCTAGCTGGTTAGGATACAAGGTTTTCACCCTTGAGACCCGGGTTCAAGTCCCGGTTGGGGAATTTTTTTTTTTATATTAATTAAATATTTAATAAAAATAGATATTTTTTTTTTTTTTATATAATTAATTAAATGCTTAATTTATAAAATTTCTATAAAATATAAAAATAATATTATTATTTATTATATCATATAATATTTTTATTTGCAAATTTTTTATATAAAAAAATTAATTTTCAAATTTATTATAATTTTTTTAATAAAATTTAATTATTAATATATTTTATTTCGCTTGTTTTAAATTATTATTCTATTTTTTTAAAAAAACATATCAATTTATTTTTAATGTATTTTCTTATATTTAATTAATAAATACTTATATTAAAAAAATTAAATGAAATAAAATAAAACTTATTTGTTAATATTTCTTTACAAATATTAACTATTTTAATCTATTTTTGAAAATATTTTATATTAAAAAAGCTTTTTATATTAAAAAATAATTATTTTTTATCAATATTTTGTTAAAAAGTAGTATATTTATTAAAATAAATATTAATTTGATATTCTATATAAACAAATCAAATTAATTACGAATTTTAAAAATTATTATATAAAAGAACATTATTTTCAATTTATTATATTAAAAATTAATATAAAAAAGAATTTCATGTAAAAAAAAGAAATCCAATGCAAAAAAATAAATGTATTAGATTAAAAAATAATTTATATTTTCTTGACAAAAAAATATCATTAATAAATTATGAAATTATAATAATTATATAAATATATATTAATAAATTATTTATGTAAAATTTATAAGAAAGTATATAATAAGTCTATTTTATTAATATTAAATTAAATATAAATTTTACTATAAAGCAAATTCAAAAATATTTTTAGATTGTTTTTCAAAAAATTAGTAAATTAAAAAGAAGTTTTAGATAGCATAATATTAGATTAGTTTTTATAAAATCTCGTAATAAAAAGGATAAGATAATAATTATGAATAAAAAATTACTATAATAATAATAAAAGATTAATAATTAATATATGATAATGATTATATTTTAGTTTAATTATTCATATATAAATATATATAAAATTAATATATGTATATATATATATATATATAAATCATTCGTAATTATTAATTTTTATAATATATATAATTATATATTATAATAGTATTTATTTTTTATAAAAATAATTAGTATATTTTTTTTAATTAATTTAGTTAAATAATCAAATATAAATATTTATATATAAATTAATTAATTATAAAAGATAAAATTACATATTATAAAAATTATTTTAAAAAGATATATAAATATTAATTAAAATACTAATTTTTTAAAATAAAATGTTTATTTTATAAAAAATATTTAATAATAATTTGTTTTAATTATATAAACTGTTATGAAAATTAAAAATATAATAATTTTTAAATTAAATATTTATTTATAATAAATATATGTTTTGCATATATTTAATTTTTGTTAATTTTTTATAATATTTATTTTATATAATATATATTATTATAATAATATTTAATCAATTAAATTTATAATTTTTAAAGCAAATTTTTAGCAATATTAATTTTATCTTTTTTTTTTATAAGATATTAACATTTTTTAATAAAAAAATTTTCATGCTTCTAATTAATAGAAATTTAATATATAAATAACATATAAACTAAAAAAAAAATATTATATAATTAAAACAAATAAATAAAATATATTTAATTTAATAAATATTTTAATAATATAATAAATTATACTAATAATATAAATAATAAATATGGAAGAATAATACAAATGTTAAAAAATATATAAATTTAATCATTATAATAATTTAGAAAAATAATAAAAATAACTAATCTTAAATTCTTAATATAACAATAGTGAAAATACGCCTCAAAATTTACAAGAAGATTATTTAAATAGAAATTCTTAATTATGAAGTACAATAGATTAAAATGATTTAACAAATAATAATAATAATCGATATAATAGCAAAAACTATATTAATAGCAGTAACAGAAATCATAGAAATGGAAATAATAATAACCGATATAATTACTAACTGAGATAATAAAATAGAATAAATAATAAAAATACTTAATTAGATATAAATTTTTTTAGAAGTCTTATAATGCAAAATGTTACCAAAATTGTATAATAATTAAATGAATTCGAATATATTTAGTAAATTATTCCTGAACTAATAGACTTTAAAAACTTCAATGTAATAATTACTCTTTTGAAAATTTTAAAAGAAAATTAGTAAGAAGAAGACGAAAGTAGACATATATTTAATCAAATTACTAAATCAAATTCTTTCTAAGAAGGGATAAATCATATGTGCAATTTAATTATGGAAGATGGTATTGATTAATACGAATAATTAAACTTAATTTAAGATTTACTTTCTATGTAATAATATGCTTTAGAATATGAATTATTTAATTTTTTAGAATTAAAAATTATTACTAAACTTAAAAAAATTATTTAGTTAAATAATTATAAAACTCCTTAATTTTCATTAAAAAAATTAATCGAATAAATTGCTTTTATAGAAAAAAAAATATAATTAAAAGATATAAATGCTGCTAATATAAAAATAAATTAAAAAAATTATTTAAATATTGAATTTTCTGATATTACTCCACTTCCTACCTAAAAAGAATTCGAAGAAAATATTGAATTCAATGATCGAATAGCTCCTATATAATAAAAAGGTCCTTTTGGTAGTTTAAAAGAATATTTATCTTTAATGTATTTTTTATTAAGAGAAGGTAAATAATTTTTATCTTTTTAAAAAAATAAAAAAAAATAAGATTTTATGAGATAACCAAGAAATGCATATAGCTAATTCTATTAAGAATTTATCAACAAATAATAGTAATAGTAATAATAATAATTATAATAAGAACATACTATAGACTTAAGTAATCTCCCTAAAGAATTTAAAAATTAATTCTATGTATATTGCAATACCTAAATTATAGAGTTTTAATTCTAAAACACTGGTTTTATTATAAATTTGGAGACTTCTCCTTTGTTCGTTTATTAAAAAAATTATGATTGGGAAAATTCGAGAAGGTTAATGAATGGTTCTATGTTAATTTTAACAAATGAGAAATTAGAAAAGCTATATTTTTGTGTGGCTAAATAAAAAGATTAAAAATTTAATGAAAAAAATTTCAGTTCTTAAAGAAGAATTAGGTTTGCTGTATTATTTGATATCGATTAATGTACAAATGATAATGCATAATATGATTTTATTGAAAATATTGTTAAAATGGCTAATTAAGTATTTATTTATATTTATATATGTTATTTTTTTTAAAAAAGTAAAATTTAATTATTTTTGAAACTAAATATTTTTGGGAAGCTTATTCACATTGTTTAAAATAAATTAGACTTATTTAACAAAAATAAGATGATGTAATAATTCCTTTCTAATAAAATATAATAAAAGCATAAAAATAAGTTAAGGAGCCTACTTTTATTAACTATAATACATAATATAAATTAAATTTTAAATTAGAATAAAATAATAAAGATCAAGTAGTCAAATAGTTAATATTACTTTAACCTGTTTGGAATGATTATTATAAAGATACATTAGATGAATCATAATTCTTAGCATTAAGAAATATTCTTACAAAATAAATTTCTTTAATATAGGGTCCACCAGGTATTTATAATAAATAATAATTTCATTTATAAATATATGAATATATTTATCATTTGAAGGAACTGGTAAAACATATGTAGGTTCTATTGCAGTAAAAACATTAATGCTTAATTATGATAAATGGAACTAAGACTAATAAAAGCATCCTATAATAATGGTCTGTAAAACAAATCATGCATTAGATTAGTTTTTAATGAATATACTTAAATTCGAGAAAAATATTAAAAGAATAGGATCTAGGAGCAAATAATAAGAATTGGAATAATATTAATTTCGTTTAAGTAAAAATATTTGGAGCGAAACTAAAGAAAATTTAGAATATACTATAGAAATGATTAAAAATATATATGAATAAATAGAAAAAGGAATAGATAATATATATTTTAATGAAAGATTTTTCGAAGAATTTCTTGAATTTGATATATTGAAATTGTATAAAGATTTTTTTTTATGATAAATATTGTATATAAATATATATATAAAAATATATAGTGTTGTTAATGGATTTCTTAAATATTTTTAAACAGGTATTTAAATTGAATAATTAGATACATCTGACAAAATAATTATTTTCAATTATTGGTGGTTTAATTGCTTTAATGATTAATAATTTTTGAATTCTTTAAAAAATAATTAACTGAAATATATTCTAAAAAATTAATAAATAACTTTTTATATTTAAAATTATTCATAAAAAAGGTCTAAACAATAATAATCATTCTAAGAAGAATTAAAAAAATTATCCAAAAGTAAATTAATTAATATATAAAATATAGACTATAATGAGAATTAAATGTAATAAAATAATAATTAATATGAGGAAGATGATGATTATTAAGAGGATGCTATTGAAAATTAAGATATATTTTAAAATGATTTTTATCATAATATTGATTTCTAAAATTATCATAATAACAATTTAACATTTTATAAATATGAAGAGGACATTTTAAAAAAACAATTTTAAAAATTAAAAATAATTAAATTTCGAGTATGAATTTCCCTTTTAAAGAATTCATGAATTTTAAATATTTCGTATATCAAAATACTCAAAAAAATTATTATTTTAACTTTAATAATTAACAAAATAATATAACGAGTATCTTATAGTATACAAAGAAGAATTAGCTAAAAGAAATGCTTAATTATTGATTTAATATAAAATAATTGGTTAATTATTTACATATTAATAAAAATATATTAATTTAAAAAAAATATATATCAAACAATTATAAAAATATAATTTATACATAAAAAAAATAGGAATGACATTAAATGGAGCGGCAATGCATGCCTAAGTAATCAAACATTTAAATCCTTATATATTATTGATTGAAGAGGCTGGTGAAGTCCTCGAAAATCTAATAGTTCCTTTACTATTTCCCTTATTAAAATAAATAATATTAATAGGTGACCATAAACAACTAAGGCCTTAAGTAAACAATTATTTTTTGGAAAAAAAATACAATCTAAACATTTCTTTACTAGAGAGATTAATAAATAACAATATAGAACACGTCTAATTGAAATATTAAAGGCGTATGAGATTCGAATTTGCTGATTTTATACGTTTAATTTATCCTAGAGAGTCTTATGAAGACCATCAAACAATTTAAGTATATCCTAATGTACTAGGAATGCCCCAAAACATGATTTTTATCAATCATAAGGAACTAGAATCTTGTATTTAAGAAAATAAAAGCAAAAAAAATTTTTATGAAGCCAATTATGCAATTGAATTAGCTAAATATATAGTATTACAGGGTCAATTTAAGCCTAATTAAATAACTATATTATGTTTTTATTTAGGGTAAACTTAAGAAATCCGAAAAATAGTAAGAAAGAACCACAATAAATAATTAAATGGAATAACTATAGTTTCAGTAGATAACTATTAAGGAGAAGAAAATGAAATTATTATCCTTTCGTGTATTAGGTCAAATAAAGAAGGAAAAATGGGCTTTACGAAAACAGAAAATAGAATAAATGTAGCCTTTTCAAGAGCTAAAATCGGGTTTTATATTCTTGGAAATTTCGGGATGTTTAATACTAATTATGAAAATAATAACAAAGAAACTTTATGGTAAAAAATTCTAACTTTAGCTAAAAAAAAAGAATTTATTAAAGATGAAATTAACTTTGTATGTAAATAACATAATTAAGGTACTCTAGTTAAACATTATGATGATTTTGTGAAAATGCCGTTGGGTGGATGTAAAAAATTTTGCAAATTAGTAAGGAAATGCGGACATATATGTCCTCTTAATTGCCATAATAACCCATGTGAAAGTTTTGAATGTTAATAAAAATGCTTGAAAGTGTATGAGTGTGGTCATTCTTGCTAACTGAAATGTTTTTCCAATTGTAATCCTTTATGTTAATAATATGTTCATAAAACATTAAATTGTGGGCACATTAAAAATGAAGTATGTTCAAAAAATATAAATAGTATCTAATGTTAAGAAATAGTCCCTGAAAAATAGTTTCAGATTGTAAACATGAAATATAGGATTAATGTTATAAAAATTAATTATAATTACAATGTACAATATAATAGTAAATTGAATTAAGAAATTGTAAACATTTATATCTAACAACCTGTCATATAAAAAAATAATACAATTGCCTTTATACCATTAATATGGAATATTCCTTAAATATAAATTGTAAGGAGCTTGTACTTAAAAAACTTAAATGCGATTTGCATTCTCAACTAATAGATTGTTATATAAATCCTTTAGAATAAGTATGTAATGAATTAGTTGAGAAAACATTAGTGTGTGGAATTCATTAATAAAATATGAAATGTTTTGATGATCCTTTAAAAGTTAATTGCAAAGAAAAAGTCTAAAAATTACTCCCTTGCTCACATTATGCATATAATGTAGAATGTTACGAAACCCAAATAATATTTAATGTGAAGAAAAGTAAAAAAGACTTACCTTGTGGACATTAGACAATTGATTCTTGTTATGTAGAAGTAACAAATATTTTATGCTAATAAATTGTTGAAAAGAAATCAATTAATTGTGAGCATTTCATATAAATTAAATGCTCTGAAAACCCTTAAAGTAGTGACTGTAAAATTTTAGTTACAAAAATATCTCCTTTATGTGCACATCCGGTATAGGATATTTGTTCTAAAAGCTTAAATAAGCTTAATTGTTAAACTATTGTTAGTAAATAAATGAAATGTGGACATTTTATAGATACTAAATGTAATGAAAAAATAAACGAAATAAAATGTTAGTTTATGGAATTAAAAGAGCGTTTTTGCGGGCACAAAAAAAATGTGTATTGCTATTAAAATGTAAATGATGTTATTTGTGAAGAATATCTGACTGAATAATGTTCTAAATGTGATGGAATTATATATAGGCAATGCTAGTCTAAAAAAAATCAATAAGAGTGCAAAAATATGGTTGAGAAAAAAAAAAATTGCGGTCATACTGTAAAAATATAATGTAATTAGAAAATACCAATTAAATGTACAGAAGAAATAGAAAAAAAATATGATAAATGTGCTCATATAATCAAATATTAGTGCTATAACTCAAAAAATATTCATTAAAATTGTAATTAATAAATGCCAATAGAATATAAATGTGGTTGCAAAAAATATATTTTATGTTATTAAATGGAAGGTAAATATATATATAGTCTTATTTTTTATTTTTAATAGATTCTATTATATAGTAAACATTAAATAACTTATGTTAAAAATGTGAATAACAAAATATACAATAACCATAATAAAAATCAAAAGAATAATTACCTTTAAAACAATCTAAAATAAATAAGCCTGTCTAATAATATTAATCTCAAATGTAAAATGACCAAGAAGAACAAAAAGATGAATAAAATATAGATTTAATCTAATCAAATAAACTAAGAAGAAGACTTTAATAAACTTCTCCATAAAACCTCTAAAAAAATTAATAGCTTAATATTGTCGAAAAAACCAAAGAATATGTAAAAGAACCAACTAAAGAACCATTCATATGTGGTCATTAATAAATAACTAACGACCAAAATGAATATGACTGCAACTCAATATGTAATAAAGAGCTTTCTTGTGGACATACTTGTACATCAAAATGTAGAAATTGTTTATATGGATTATTACATTACCCTTGTTAAAAAATAGTATAAGTCTAATTGTTTTGTGGGCATAAAAAATAAATGAAATGTTCTGATTATGTAGGAATTTGTTAAGCAAAAATTGTAATAAGGGAATGTAAACATACATGGCAAAAAAAATTAAGGAATTTTAATGTATGAATAAAATTCCTGAAAAGATAAAACTTAAAATATGTCAAGCTAAAATTTGTGAAGAAAACTTATTAAAATGTAAACATAATATCGATAGTTTGGAGAATTATTTTATATAATAAATGCATAAAAAGCCATATTAAATTCCCAAATGTAAATTTTGCGACTCTAGAATAAATACTATGGACTATTTTAAGGAAATACAATAAATATAATTGAATAAAAGCATTATTTCGAATACTGTTTACATTGATTCTTTTTAGGAAAATTATTAATAATTCCCAGAAATAAACTTCCGTGCGGATTCTTTACTTTATAAAGCTTTTCATTAACAGGCTAGTTATAATGATTTGGAATTAAAATATAGATAAAAAATACTTAATTATATCATATAGGATTATGAATTGTTAAGAAATCTTGCTTGTGAATAATTAAGTACTTTTGAAAATGATAAAATATGTAGAACTATAATTAGATAATTTTATTTAATTAATAGTTTGTACTTTTAAGAAGTTAAAAATTTTAAATTTTAGTTTTATTAATAAATACATTAATCTATACATATCTTAGCTTTTGTGTATGCATATTTTAATTATTTAGATGTAAATTAAGAATATTTTAATATCGACTTTTTGTAATAGGATGTTGAAAGCTTGATTATTTAAATGCCTAATCAAATTGAGTTTGAAAAATTGATTTGTTAAATGAAGAAAAACTTAGAATTAAACATTTTAGATGTTATTTAAATACCCACATTTGAAATAAGCGATTAAAAATAGTAAATAAATATTATATATATATATTATCATTTTTTTTAATTTAATTAGTAAAATATGTAAATTTTTGCATTTAAATATTAATGATAGTAGAAGCAAATGTAAGAAATGTGATGGAATTCTGCTTGATTTAGATATAGAATGATTTAATATTTATATAAATAAAAATATTACATTTCAATTATAATTTTTTTATATTAAATTAGTAAAATAATAATTATCAAATAAATATTAAATAATTCATATATAATTCAATGCTTATATTATAAATATTAAAATTATACTATATATTTTTTTTATATAAAATAACATAAATAAATACAATTATAAAAATATAAAATTTTAAAAAAATATATATAGAGTAAAAAAACATAGACTCATAAAAAAATATAAATGGGTAATTCAAACAATAACAAATACACATAAAAAAATATTTTAATCGAAAAGAAATTTAATAATGATGTTCAAATAATCTAAAATAAACGCAAAAAAAGTTATTCATCTTATTATTAAGTCATCCGAATAAAATAATAAAGTAAAAATTATCCCAATATAATTAATTAATCCCAGTAAATATATCCAAAGCAGTTATCTCTATCCACAACAACTCGTGGCTTTAATGTAGTATAGTAGAATTCTTAAAGTTAAATTCGAAAAATATAGCAAGAATCATTCCAATAAAATAAAAAAGAAGAAAATAATATAACCATATAACTTTCTCAATAATTCAAAAAACTAAGACTTTTAAATAAATAATCCTCTATTAATGAAAGCCAGGAAGAAATAAATGCTACTATAAATTTCTCTAATGATCTTTTAGAATTAAATAATTTCTTTTAAGTTTCTTCTTAATTCAACTTTTTAGTTCCTTTGAATTTTCAAGCTAAAGAAAATCTCTTTTAAATCGAAAAAGAAAATTAAGAAATTTACGAAAAAGCCTCTAAATTAATAAATATCTTCCAAAAAATGTAAGAAATGGAAAAATATGTCCATACTTAAGGATAAAATAAGTCTTTTTTTTTAAATAATATTCCTTTTTAGAAAATGGAGGAATTATAATTATCCCCTATATTTAGAAATTAAAATGAAAATGAAAAAAACGGTTAAATCGAAGAAGCTTTAGACGAAAAGAAACAATTAAATATGAGCAAAATTAAGAAATAAATAAATGAAAATTTATAAAAGTCAGTAATTTTTTAAAATAAAGGAAATACTTCATTTATTTCATAAAAAAATAATATAGATGTAATTTTTAATAATAAAAAAAACTAAGTAGAAAAAAAAGGGGAAATTATAAAAGTTAAAAATATTACTTTGAAAAAAAATAATAATAGAATTATCCAAATTAACCAAAATAATACATAAAATAAAAATAACTCCACTTTTTAGAAATAAAATTAAAGTATTTTTTATAAAAATCAAAGCTTTTTGAATAAAAGTTAAAGATTTTTTAACCAAAATTAAAGCCTTTTTAAATAAAATTAAAGTTTTTTAAACGAATAAACAAAAAGTTATTAAAAAAATATTAATACTTAAAGAATGTTTAAAAAATATACACCTTCGCCGAAATAAAAATAGAGTTTTTTCGTGTAAAATATTCATTCTTTACAAAAATATAAATAATAAGAACTAATAAAGAAAATCACAAATGAAAAAAATAATATGAACAAAAGTATTTTAGATATTTAAAAATCAAATGCATTATATAAAAATAATGATAATACTTTCAAAAATACGTTTTTTGTATAAGATTATGTATAGCTTAGAAGTGAAATTCAATAGAATCAAAACGATAAATATCTTCCTTTTTTTTAAAGTTAAAATTAAATCAAATATTAATTTATTTAACCAAATTGGATTTCTTAAAATCTAGTAATTTTTTTTCTTATTTTTAAATATTTATTTAAAAAAAAATAAAAAAATATAGGATATAAATAAATAAGAAGAAGATTTTACTTAATAATTAAAATTATAATTATTAAAATGAATTTAATATTTTTTTTGTATTATATTTTTTTCATTTAAAAGGTTATATTAAAATAATTTAATTTAAAATTATTTATTTTTTATTTTAATTTTATTATATGGATTAATAATAAAAATAAGAAATAAATTATCCTTAATATATTATAGAAGGACATTTTCGCTTTGTTAAAGGTTACGAGCATTGTTTTCGTACTCACGCAAAAGGTCGTTGGTTTAGTAAATATATATTAGATGTTTTACAAATGGAATTTAAAGCATACACAAAAGAATATTATGTATATTTTTATATTAAAAAAGCTAACGCATGAATAAATATATTTAAATTATAGTAAAAAGCAATAGAAAATGGCAAAATATTAGTAAATGGCTAAAAAGTAGATATAGAATATAAATTTAAGTATAAAAAAGCTTATTTTTCTTATAAGTAAAAAAATAAAATAGACATAATGATCTATTCGAACATTATACATTAAGAATAGAACCTCCAGTTTTGAATAAACTTCCTAAAATAATATATGAAGATGAAAATTACTTAGTAGTAAGCAAACCTCCATATATGTGTGTACATGCAAGTGGAGGACATCTACATAATACACTAATCGATATATTAAAGTATTAGATGAATTACAAGAATCAATTATTTAGTAAAACAAATTATAAATATTTAAAAATTATATGTATATATATATATTATAAATATATAATTTTCAATTTTCAATAAATATAATAAAGCCTTACACAGATTAGATAAATTAACATCAGGAATATTAATTTTAGGAAAAAATAAAGAAATATCAATAAAGTTTTAGGAAGAGAAAATCAAAAAAAAATACTATGCAAGGGTAGAAGGTAACTTTTTTCCTGAAAAATAAGACTAAGAAGAGATTATTTGTGAAAGAAATATAGCCTGTCAGAGCCGAAAAGAAGGAAAATATCTATGCTCTGATAATAAAGAAGGAAAATACTCAAAAACAATATTCAAAAAAATATGGTATGACTCTAAAACTAATACATCTCTTATATAATGCAATCCTATAACAGGTCGAACTCATTAAATAAGGGTACATTGTAGTTTTCTAGGGTATCCAATAGTCAATGATATTAATTATGGAGGTAAATTTATAGGAAATGCGATTTTGTAATAATTAGAAAATAATGAAGAAGAATGTGAAAAAAAAGTTAAAAAATTAAAAAACAATAAAGGAGATTCAGTTTAAATAACAGGAGCTCTACTTAATGAATATGAATGGAATCCGGAAAAAGAATGTTTGGAGATTTATTTACATTCAGTTTGCTATTAAGTAGGAAGTCTTGTTTTTAAAGATTAATTACCTTATTGGGCTTCTTAAGATTATTAATGGAATTGATTATTTTATTTTTTTGTAAATAAAATTATTTTAATTAATACAAAAAAAAAACGTATATATATATTTTAATTATAATTAAAAAATATATAATTTTAAAATAACACTCAAATAATTATTTTTATACAAAAAAAAAAAATCATAAAAAATCTTATTTATTTTATACAAAAAAATAATTTTATATATAAAATTTTTTAATAAAAAATGAGTATTTTTGATACATTAATAGATTAAGCAAATTATTTTTATGAAAAAACTTAATATTAAAATGCACTAAAAAAACTAGAAGAAGCTCAAAAATATGCAAATAAAAACAAAAATTATCAAGTAATAGTTTTCAAGAATCTTAGTTAAATCTACAAGGAATTATAATTATTCGAAAACGCAATAAAATGTGCAAAAAAACATATTTTTTTAGCCAAAGAAATATAAGATGATGAACTTTTGGAAGAAGGATATTGCAATTTAGGTTTAATATATAAAGATTTTGGTTTAAATTGTAAAGACGATGAAGAATATGAGTAATATATAGACCAATCAATCGATTAATTATAGCAAAGCGGAGTAATAATAAAATAAATGTTAAATAAAAATAGAAATAAAATTGAATATAAAGAATTAGAAGCAAAAAGTAAATATAATTTAGCATGTTCATACAGTATTAAAGCAAAATTCGATAATATTTATTATGAAAAAGCTGAAAACGAAATACAAAAAAGCATTAAAATTTGTAAAGAAATAAATTACAATATTTTAATTGGAAAAAATTATAATGAATTGGGTCTTATTTTTGAATAAAAAAAAATTAATGAAAAAGCAAAAGAACATTTTTAAAAAGACTATGAAATATGTTAAGTAAAAAGAAAAATAATATATATATTTATTTAGATATACTTCTATTAATATCTAATAGTAAACAAAAAATATATTAGGAGAAATACAAGCTTAAAGAAATATAGCTAGATGTATTTTATATATAGGTAATATAGATCAATGTGAAAGGATTTATAATGAAGTTTTATAAAAGCTATAAATAAAAATATAAAAGAATAAATTAATATAATTAAAGGCGAAATTAAAGATATTTAATTAGAAAAGAACTTGTAAAACAAAGTAAATGTCTTTTAGATAAAATTAATAGTGAAAAAAAACTTAACTAGAAATTAATTTTTGATTACTTATATATTATCTAAAATCAACTTTTTAAATATGAATAATCTGTTAATTTTATTAAATAAATTTTCAAAAAAGATTCTTCGTTTAAATAAAACATTTAAATTCTTAACTTTTATTAAGAAGCCCTTTAAGAAACTAAATAATATGAAGAAGCTAAATAAATTATCGAAAAAATAATGTCAAAAACAGCTCCTAAATCAGACGATATGGGTCATTATTTAATTGAATATGGTAATGTACTTGATAATATTCCCCAATATAGACATAAAGCATACGATTTATACACCTAGGCATTAAAAATAGGCATCGAATTATAAAATGAACTTATAAAAAAATCCGCAGAAAATAATATAAGATCATTAGATGAAGAAAACGAAAAATAAAAATAAGATAATTTATCAGCAAATTTATTAAAAAACCGATGTTTTTTAAATAAAAATATAATTTTAAAAAACTACGAAGAAATATACAAAAATATTTGCAAAGAGAAAAATATGGAAATTAATGATGAAATTGTTTAATATATATAGTAAAAAAGATACGGATTTATAAAAAATTTATATATTGAAAATTTTAAAATTATACCGTTTATTTTATTCACAAACTAGATATTTTTATAAATAAAAGAAATAAATTTAGCCTATAATTATTTAAAAAATACTTCTTTATTAATTTTTAGTTTCCAAAAATATGAAAATCTCCAAAAACTAAATATATCGTTTAATTTTTTCAAATTCGATGAAATTTTTATATAATTTTTGGGCAATTTAAGTGATAAAAATTAACTTCAAAAAATAGATTTTTCAGGCTTAAAAATTTAAAATGAAAATTAAAGACTTTTTTGGCAAAAAATTCTTAATTTAAAAAATTTGAAAAATTTAAAGATAAAAAATTCATCTTTGAATTTTTTCGATATATCTTCTTTTAAGTTTTTATAAAAAATAGACCTTTCAGATAATAATTTAGAATTTTAATCCAGTTTAGTTCACTTTATGAAAATTCCACTTAAAAAAATAGGCTTTTCTGGCCAAAAATATTAACAATCTCATGAAAACATATGCACTGAAGAACAATAAATAGAAATTAATGGCTGTGAGGAATTATAAATATAAAATTTTTAATTCAAAATATTATTTTTAGACCAAAAAATATGCAAATTTCTCCTTTAAGTATAAAAGATGAACTTATAAGGGTCTTCGGATGTTTTTTTGGGAGATCTATTAAACTTTTTATACCATTATTAGATTCTAGAGGAAATTTAATATAATTAAAAGTATTAAAATTTGAAAGTTTTTAATATAAACAGGATTTTTTTAAATATCGAAACTTAAAATTCGGTTAAAAATTTTCTTGAAAAATAAATTAATTTAGAAGAAGTTTTTATGGAAAAATGTGGCTTAGAAAAAGATTAAATTGTGAATTTTAGTTAATTTTTCAAAAATTGTTTTACAAATATTAAGAAAATTTCATTTAAATTTAATAAAGTATTTTTAGAAGAAGAAAAAAATTCATTTTTAAAAAATTTTGATAATTAAATATTTTTTATATGAAAAAAAAAAAAAAAAATTAATTTATATATTAATCGCTTATATATTTTTCATCTTAAAAAAAATAAAATAATATACATACATGCGTCTTTATCAATTATTTTATTATATTTTTGTTTTTAATTATTCAGCTTTTAAAAATAATAAAACACAAAAATTGAAAAAAGTAATATATGCGTTTTTATATATATATAGAATAATATATATTAATAAAGTTTATTATTTAATATATATAAAAAATATTATTTTTCAAAATTTAAATAATCAGAACTTCCTCGAATAAAATTAATTAAACTCAATATTATTTTCTTCGCATAATTATTATATAGAAACTTCATCTATATTAGTATAAAATCTCATTTTATTTAAATCAATGTCATTATAAATAACTTAAATCAACCCCATTTAAACCAAAGCCCAAACCTAATTTTAAAAATCTACATTTCTTTGAACAATACCTGCTTCCACTTTTTCCTATTAACAATAAATATCTAATAAAGACTCCGCTAAAGCCACTAATCTTTCAACTTTTAAAGGGTTTACAATTTCGAATTTTTAGTTTTCCCTAACTTATGTCTTTTTATTACTTTTTCTATAGTCTTTAAATATTTTTTTTTCAAAAGCTTCTGATATACGATTTCCTATCCAACACCCAATTAATAAAAATGCCGGAATAACAGGTAATTTTGGCATATTTTATGTATTTTTCCTAAAAATTATATATATATAATATAAATATATATTTGTACATTTATGAAAGAATTTCTTTATTTTTATCAATTGATAATTTTTCTAGAAAATCTTAAACATTATCAATATTAAAAAAGGGGTTTTTAATAAAAATCTTCCTAGTTTATATATAAACTTCATCTCTTATAATTTAAGTTGAAAATTTAAAATTCCCTTAAAAATGTTCAGTTAAAAGTTTAAAAAAATTAAAGCAAATATTTAAAAGTACATTAATATTTTAAGAAATATAATAAAAATTAGAAACTATGTCCTATATAACGTCTTTATTTTTAGGATATTTGTCACAAAGGATTTCTATTATTTTATTTTTGCCTATTTTAGGTATAAAAACAGATGGAATATTCTCGATCTCAGTATTTTCTATTTAAAGGCTTGATGGAATTTGTACCCCACAGAAAATACAAAAAATGTCCATGTCGAGTATATTATTTATATCAATTAAAAATTAAAAAAACTTCAAAGATATGTCAACTTTCTCAAAATTATCAAAAAAAATACATATTTTCTCCTCCTATATATCTATTTCTTACAAAAATTAAATTAAATAAGAAATCCCTTTAACTTTTTATTTCTCTTCTTCTTCTTAAAAGGTTATTTCTTATATTATTTTATTCAAAATGTCTCTTTTTGTCTTTATTTGCATACAATTTATTCTTATATTTCTTATTTTTTTTTCTTTTATGATTTCGCGTATAAAATGAGTCTTCCCGCTACCAGATGTGCCATATATTATAAAAGATGTAGAAGATTCAATAAGGTTATTTATTAAAATTAATGGTCCTTTTATATATTTATATTTTTCTATAAATTCTTCAGATAAATTCATTTTTATTTATTTTATTTTGGAGGGAAAATAAGTATATGTATTAATTTTTTTTTTTTTAGTAATTAAAAAATAATAATAAAAGTAAATAAATATTAAGATTTTTTTGTTATTTAAATAAAATGATTTTTTATAATACTTATATAAATTAATTATTCTTATTTGGATATAATTAAAATTTATAATAAATAAATATTTTACTTGAATAAAAATAATTTTATTTAATAAATTTATTTTCAATATTTAATAAAGCTAATATAAATTAAAAAAAAATATATAATTTATTAGTAAGAATTTATATATATTTATATAATATAATAAAAGTATTTATTTCAACAAAAAATAAATACATATTTAGCTAAAATTTTTATTAAAAAAATAATAAAAACTAAAAATATGGAATAAAATCTCTAAATAATAAAAGATCTTGAAACATCCTTTATCCAAGCTAAACAGCAATTTAAAGTAAAAAAACTCAATAAAATAATGAAAAAATAAAAAAAGAAAATTGGTAATCTATGTAAAGAAACAGGAAAAAAAATGAACTAAATTTCAAATTAACCAAATTTATGTTTAAAAATTCCGTCTTAATTAATTCTCGATACTCTCCGAAATCATTCATAATACCTTTCATCATTTGTAAAAAATAAAAAGAAAAACATAAAAAAATAAAAAAATAAATAGTTCTTATCTTTAGGTACTTAATTTAACGGTTAATATGAACTCTTTAAAGAAAAAGAACTCTAAATGGTTTCTTAAAGATAATAATATGCAAAAATTACTGAAAATCTCTAATAAAATATAATAAAAGCGCAATCTTAATATAAGAAAGCTTTAAAATAAATGCAAGAAAACTCCAAAAAAAATCAAAATGACGAAATATGCGCATCTTAAGTTTAAAAACAGCAAATAATAATAGACAGACATTTAGAAAACATTAATTATTCTTGTTTATCTCGATAAAAATCCCAAAATAAACTCACATAAAATATCGAAAATGAAATTTACGAAAATATGGAATTTTTAAAAATTTAGTTGAATCATTTTTTCGAAAAAACACTTTAATAATTCTCGACTTTTCATAATTTAATCAAGGAAGAAATACTTCAAAAAATAAATACTTAAATTAATGCAGTTTCAAATATTTTTAAATAATCCTTAATTAAATAATCATCTAAAAAAAGCTTTGAAACACCGAAAAGTATACCTAAAACTCCACACACTGACTCTTTTTTACATTCCAAAAGTAAAAAAGCCTTAACTCCTAATATAAGAAGTTCTAATATACTAGCTTATAGTAAGTAATCATGTAAAAAATCCCAAAAAAGCTTTAATAATGAATAATAAATTTAACTTTATTAAAAATTTCTTAAATTTTAGAAAGAAAGTGGAGTATAAGATGAAGAATTTAAATAATAGATAGGTAAACATGTAGTTAAAATAAATCAAGAAGAAAATTAAGAAGAAAAATTATAGAAATTTACAGAAAGCTAATATTTAAATTCAAGTATAAGTAAATAAAGTAGTTAAAAATTAAATTAAATATTTTAATATTGATACTAATAATTATATTTATATTTAAAAAATTTTTTATATAAAAAAACCTTTTTAATGTATTTAAAAATAAAATTATTTTAAAACATATAAAAGTAAAAAAATATTAAATAAAAAAATAGAATATATAAAATAATAAAAAATATATATAAATATATAATTATATATATATATAATATATATATATTATTTATATATATATATTTATATATATTATTATTATCTCTCAGTTTTTAATACTATTATATAATTAAAAACCTTCTGGTATTTCCTAAACTAATGCTTATTCTGGTAAATCTTCAACATCAGGTGAACTAAGAATTTACTAATTATCTTTAATTTAGTCATCTTATAAAACTTATTAATGATTTGGGCTACTTTGAATATTTTTTACATTAACCATATTTAATAAAATAGGATTTTTTTAACTTAATTACTGGCTAAAGTTAATTTTTTTAAAGCTGGGGAAAGGGGAAGATTCTCATAGTCTTTTTCTTCTGCGAAATACTCGGTCATTTTAGGATCTAATAATTACAATAATTTATTATCTATTTAGTCTCTTTACTTTTATTTTTTTAAATTGTTAAAAGCTTAATATGCATCTACTGCTTTTTATAAATTAGTTCTCTTATCCATAAATACGAATTCTAAATTTTACTATACTTCATCGTTTATTTAATTTTAGTTATCATTCTCTTTTTTCTTTTTGCTATTTTTTTTGTATATTTATTCATTTTTTATTAATGGTTTCCGTAAATAACTAAAAAGCTTCAATTAATCAGGATTTAAAAGAAGAAGTTTTAATTTATCGACTTCTAAAAGCTTATTTACTATATAAAGTACATCTAAATGATCTTCTAAAAGATCTTTTGAATATTCAATTTATTTTCTTTTATTACGTATTCTTTTTTTACAAGGACATAAGAAATAGCTTACATATTCACAATTTTAAAGTTAAATTTCATCTTTTGTTTACTTAATTTAAATGTATATAAAAAAAATATTTATTTAAAAATACTTTGAATAATTTTTCAATTTAAATATCTATTTTAGAATCTCTTTTTTCATTTTTTTTATAAGATTTTATAATATTAGAAAGAATTTCTTCAGATTAATTTTTTTTCAAAAACATAGATTGATTAAGCTACTTACTTTCATTTTTAAGCTTCTCTATATTAGGAGACTATGGAAAATTAACATTATCTTAATTTAATTCAACCCCATTATTTGAATTTTGTTACTTATGTTTTGACGTAGTTATCATCCTCACGATTTCCTAAATATTTGGACTTTCCTGTCCTTTCTATCCCATTTACTATTATTATGATTATTCATTTTGTAGTTCTTCATTAGTTTTCTCAAAAGAGTAAACTTCATTCACTAGTTCTTTATTTAAATCTAATTAACTAAAAGGAATGCAAATAATAGCTCCAATTACCATTAGTAGATCAGTAACACCAGAAACATTAGCTAAAACATCTTAAATTTTCTTATAACTTCTATAATATCGAGACTATTTTCCTTTTTCAAATCTAATAACAAAACGAACAAATTCGCCTTCTAATTTTCCTTTAAATAGTGTCTATTCAGTCTAATATTAAAACAAAGCATTTTATTAAACAATTACATCTGAACTTATTACTCCAATATCACTTTCAATATAATAGTTTCTCATATAAATAGTTATTTCTTTTCCTAAATTAAAATTATATATTTTTTCATATAGTTTTTACAAATTAAATAATATAAAACCTATTTTGTTAGATATTGGCCAAAACATGTCCTTTGCAATATTTGTAAATGGTTGATAAAGATTTGTAGGATTAATAATTTTATCAGTGAAATAAGCCGCAAAAACTGAATATTCTAAAAGTTAATCTATTTTTTATTAGCTAGAGCATTTTTAAGATGTATCATTTTAATTACAAATTTTTATTGAAAATTCTAATGTAGCAAAAGCATCAGCTTAGAAATCACCTTCTATATAAATATATTTATCCATATTTAAACAATACATATTTTCGATTCCAGCTAAGTTTTTAAAATATTCCTATGTCCCACTAACCTAAAAAATATGAAAATATTGATAAATATGTATGAATAAATATATATATATATATATATATATATATATATATATATTTATTTTTATTTCATTTATTTATATAATTTATACTTTAAAATTATTCTTATCTTAATCTGTACATTTACGAGCATCTAAACTGTATGAATTCCATTCTTATTCGGAAATACCTGTTTTCGGATTTATTTTTTTTATCATTGTATTTTAAATTGCTTCTATTTTATAAATACTTTCATCAACAAAATGATTCCAATCTCTATCTTAGATACCAAAAGCAATTGTATATGATTCTTTAGTAATATTAAATCTTTCTGGTTATAAAATAACTTCTTCAGAAATTACCGTGTTAGGTTATTTTTTATCCCAAAGTTCTTAAGCAAAAAAGTAAGTTACGAATATATATGTGGCGTTTATTAATATTGAGAATATTCCACCAAATAAAGTATTGTGTTATGAATTTTTTTTAAATGAAAATACTATATTAGTTCCAAATTTATCTTAAGAAAGTAATATATTTTTTACTTTTTCCATTTTTCCTTATTTTATTTGAATTATATAAGTTTTGTGTTAATTTATTTTAATTTTTTTGTTTATTTTTAAATAAATATTATAATTGTTATTAATAAAATTTAAATTTATTTCAAACATAAATATTTATTTAAAATATATAAATTTATTGAATTATAATATTTATTTAAATTTTTTTATTTTTATTTATAAATAATCTTATAAAATAATATTTTATTGAGATAAATAATTTAAATTAAAAAAAAAAAAATATGTTTAAATAATTAATATAATATATTCTAAATATATTAATTAATAATCATATTTATAAAAAAAAAATTATATAAATTTAGAATAAATAATATTAAATTTTTATATTTTATTTTAAATTTAAATTAAATATTTT